AACCTACTCTCCAATAAACAATTTGGTTTCAGAAAAAAACTATCCTGTAATCTGCAACTCTTACACTGCAAAAACATATGGACGACACAACTCGACCAGGGCAAAGCAATAGACGCAATCTACATAGACTTCTGTAAAGCCTTTGATTCAGTGGTACACGACAAACTACTCCTAAAAATAAAATCCTATGGTATCTCTGGACAACTGAATAACTGGATTGAAGCATTCCTGGCAAACAGACAACAAATGGTCAAAATTGGGAGCGTCCTATCAAATTCTGTACCTGTCAATAGTGGTGTCCCCCAAGGCAGTGTTCTAGGACCAACTCTCTTCATACTCTACATAAACGACCTCTGTGATCATATTAAGAGCAATTGCGTTCTCTTCGCTGATGATGTAAAGCTGTTCAATACCACAGACAATACTGCTACCCTACAAAAAGATCTTGACTATGTATCAGAATGGTCAAACAAATGGCAACTTCAAATCTCAACAAATAAATGCTCTGTCTTACATATTGGCAAAAAAAATCAGAAAATAAAATACAAGCTGAATAGTCAAGGTCTTGTTGATGACCCAAGCTCTGTAAAGGACCTTGGAATACTCACCTCTAATGATCTAAGTGCTAGAGCACACTGCAACTACATAGCCAAAAAGGCATTAAGAGTTGTTAACCTAATCCTACGTAGCTTTTTCTCTGGTAATATCACACTACTAACCAGAGCATACAAAACATTTGCTAGACCAATACTCGAATACAGTTCATCAGTCTGGAACCCACACTACGTATCTGATATTAGCACAATTGAGAAAGTCCAGAAATATTTCACAAGAAGAGTTCTCCACTCCTCTACTCGCTGTAGAATACCTTATGCCACCAGACTTGAAATTCTAGAACTAGAAAACCTTGAATTACGCCGTCTTCGGTCTGACTTAAGCATGGTATACAAAATCATACATTGCAATGTCCTACCTGTCAATGAATACTTCAGCTTCAACCATAACAACACAAGAGCACACAATAGATACAAACTCAAAGTAAACCGCACCAAACTTGATTGCAGGAAATACGACTTCAGCAATAGAGTGGTCAATGTCTGGAATACTCTACCCGACTCTGTAGTTTCTTCCCCAAACCCCAAAAACTTTAACCTTAGACTGTCTACTATTGACCTCACCCCTTTCCTAAGAGGTCTGTAGGGGGCGTGCATAAGCGCACCAACGTGCCTACCGTCCCTGTCCTATTGTTTCTCTTATTCTTCTTTTATTTTTCTTATATGTACCCATTTCATGTATTCACAACTATGTATACACTTATACTTATTATCTTGTAAACAATTGGCAAATCAAATAAATAAATAAAAATAAATAAATAAATATAGCAACTCAGATATAAAGACAGATTACAATTCTGGCTTGTAGTCATACATACATTTACTTCAGATCTATAGCTCTTACATCATGTATGCACTATATGTTAGTCCTATGAGGTAGTCCAGACAAAAAGCATAAGAGGAATACTAGTTCTATCTTTATTTCAAGTTTGCACTAATAAAATCTTGCAAACTGTGTTGCAACTGTGTTTCTCCTCTTCTTTTCCTCTCTGGAAAAATATAGAGGTTTGCTCTGAAATGTTCGCCATACCTTTCCTGCCTGATTAGCCTAACTGAATATAATAAATAGATATACTTTCCCTTTTTTTGGTCAATGTCCTCGATTACTGGTATTTGATCACATTGTACAGTGAGATGCAGACTGTCTTCCAACAGGGTTAGTATAGGAAAGCAAGCTTTTTAACACATTTGTTTTCTTGAAAACTATTTTTGTGTGGTCTCTTTATTTTTAATTTGGATGTGAGGGTTGGCATAAAATCGTGACAGGCGCAAGAGAGGCCTCAACTTGCCTCAACTGCTTGAGTAATGCTATCTATTTGTGCCTGAGGACAGATAAATGAAAGCTATTTTTGATTTCAATAAGGGAAGGGTTGCTATCTTTCCCAAGCAGAAAAATATATTGGAGTTTTGGCCTTCCTCTCAAGGCTAGAATTTTTTTTTTAAGTGGGAGTTAGCTAGAAACCTATCATTCATTTGAATTGTCTGTAATTATACTTCTTCTTGTGTAGGCGCTTCCTTTGCAAATAGGCTGATGGTATGACATGCTCACTTGAAAGTTAAGATAGTTATAGTGAAACTCAGTGAAGTGAGTTGCATAATTCATTTAGCATAGTAGTTTATGCTTCATGTTCAGGACGAGCCGAGAAAGCGTAATTATATTTTGTACTAAACATCTGTATTTTTCTAAATATAAAGAACTTAATATGAGAACATTGAGCAACATATAAAAGTTGATATTCTCCTTTTGTCACTTTTGGAACTGAATTCATATGGTTATTGATAGGTTTTTATGCTAATTGCTGTGTGTTTATAATTCACTTTTTTGTAGTTGTACCAGCATCTAGAATCCATCAAGATCACCAAGAGTAGAATTCTACTTAGGGAAGTGTATATCTATAACCCATGAGAAGGAAGGAAGGAAGGAAGGAAATAACATGTTCCTACTTATGCTTCATAGCAATTGGATTTGAGGCACATTAATGAGTAATAATAGCATTGATAATCTTGTTTTTCATGAAATGACAGACTCAGAAATCCCTTCCCAGTTGCTACATTACAGACAGCAAGGTGGTAAGCAGTGTGTTGGTTTTTTAGTACCATTCTCCTAAATCCTTCTGACTTTTCACCTAATTTTTCAGATGTGCTTATTTGTGCATGGGGCACGATATTACCATGTTCCCAACTTTCTCTTCTTGTTATACATTATGGGATCTCAAAACTGTTCCTTGCCCCTTTCTTCTGCATCGTGTGAAGTATCTATTTTGGAATGAACATAATCCAAAGGCATATCTTGAAAGGCACATCAAACAGCAAGTTCTGTAACAGTGCTGGTCTGAGTTTGATTGATTCTGGCTGGAACATTCAGAAAAAAAACATTATGCTCATTCATGGAAAGAAAATTAAACCTCACTATAATTCCTATAATCAGTAATAGTATCTACCAAAGATTCAGTTTTACATATATGTAAAGCCAGTTGGATGTTCTTGGACAAAAACAAGGATATATACAACTGTTCAACCACAGTGAAAGTAATCAACCTATCAAGTGATTCTGAATTATTATTATGAAAGGCATAATAATTTAAGCAGTTATTTAAATGTGTACATTGTTTGGAGATGCTTGTATGAGATATACTTTAAATGAATACACATTAAATGCTAAATCGTCGTTATAAATATTGTGTGTTACAGCTAGGCAAGGGGAGAACATCTGGAATTTGGATGTCATGTGCCAAAATAGTTTGGCAGCTGGCCCTGGGTGATGCTTAGGAGGGGACAACCCTTGGATGCTCTACTTTAAATGATAAAATAACTTCTGTGGAACTAAACACAGACATTTATTTATTTATTTATTTTATTTGTCAATCGCTTGCAAGATAATAAGTATATGTATAAACATGAGTAAGAATACAGGAAATAGGTATGAATAAATGGGGACAATAAGACAGCGACAGTAGGCAGGATTGTGCACTTATGCATCCCCCTTACAATTTGCTTCCTAAATTGTTACATGTGGCTGGTGAGGGATATGGTGATCTTTCTCATGTTAACAAGTTTGTGTGCCTTTGAGTCAGTTTTTGACTCTGGTAACTTCCTGCACAACTTGCAGGGTTTTTTAGCAAGTTTTTTTCCCCAGAATTGGCTAGTCATTGTCTCCTTCCTAGAGCTGAGAGTGAGTCAGTGAGTGACCCAGCTGATTTTGTGGCAATAGTGGCCACAAATGGATATTCGTATCCATTTCATGTACTCATAACCATGTTTATACTTATACCTGTTATCTAATACTTTCTTAACCAATAAATAAATAAATAAAATTCACAATCTCTCAGGATGGGCGTGCATAAGCGCACCAACGTGCCTACCGTCCCTGCCCTATTGTTTCTTTCCTTTTTTTTTCTTATTCGTATCCATTTCATGGTTATTTCATAACCATGTTTATACTTATACCTGTTATCTAATAATCGCTTGACAAAATAAAATAAATAAAAATAAAAAAAATAAATGCCATCAACTGACTCTCTGCCAGCCCTAAGAAGCTTCTGCTCTCAAAAAACACCCCTCCAGGCAACTATCTGATCATTCAAATGGACGGCGAAACCAGCAAAACTCGACAGAACTGGTAAGAATCAACTCTACCCGGGGGACGCAGGGAGGACAGAACCGAATCTCCCTTTCCGTTTCGCCTTCAGGGCTTCTTTGGCGTGATCCCCCTCCAGTGGATCGGATCTTCTGGATATCTTTGCACTTGTTCTGAATGGAAACCTCCCCCAAGGATTCCAGGAAAACAGACCATCCCTGCATTTTCCAGCGAAACCGGTGCCACCTCTTTCGTGGCAGGAGTATTGGAGGGACTTAGGAAGGACGTTCCTGCGCTCTCCGGGGTTCCGCGGTTATCCACAGCCGCCAGTCCAAGTCCGAGTGCAGCTCCACAGCCCTCTTGAAAGAAAATTGGAGGCAAACGCTCCGATCCCTCCTCCGTAGCCCGCACCCACCTATTCTTGTCTGGAGAGCCCGTGACGGAGCATATGTCTGCTAGGAGAGGCGCATAAGCTTTCCCCCACCCACTTCTCGCTGGAAACGGGAATGGATCAACGCCACGACTTTGGGATGCGCGTCGTTCAAGAGCATTACGGCACCCATTCCAGGTTCCTTTGACTGCTCTCCAGCGGCAGCGGCGGCGAAAGAGCCGAGGAGCGTTTTGGGTCGCTGGGAGCCGAAGCGGCCATGGCCGAGCGCCGCGCCTTTGCGCAGAAGATCAGCAGGTTAAAACAAAAAGCCGGTGCGCGGCGAGGAAGGAGGGAGGGAGCCGCATCCTAAGCTCCGCGGGGGCTGCGCGAGGGGGGCCTAGCAGGGAGACGCATTCCCGCCCCTACGAAGGGAGATGGTCTTGCCGGCGTGGGGGATTCCGGAGACTTGGCTGGGGCCTGGAGAGAGGGAGGGAGGGAAGGGCCGGGAATTGCGCCTATTGTGTGGGTTGCTTTGTGATGCGTTGGCGCCGCTTTGTGTGGTCGGCCGTGCAAAAGGCCGGGACCGAGCCGTGGGTGTGTGTGGGGGGGTCTTCCGGGGCGCGTGGCACTGCGACTGGGCGGGGGTGTGTATGTTTGCGCCAGAGCCCGATCCCATAGCCGTGGATGTGATTTATGCAGCGGCAGCAAAGGGCAGGCCGTCGCGTGGGCGGCCGGATGCATTTTGCGCGCAGGCTGATTCCCAAGCCGGATGCATTTTGCGCGCAGGCTGATTCCCAAGCACGCTCCCTTCATGTGACTGATTGTAGAGAACTTGCTTGCTTCTCTCTCTCTCTCTCTCTCTCTCTCTGTGTATGTATGTATGTATATATGGGCTTTCTAGGGATTTTCTTATTTTAAGGGGCGCTGGCTTTAGGATTTGCAGGATTGCGGGTTGATCTGCTCCCTTTCCTCCTTTGTCCTTTGGCCTTATACGTAGATGGTCCTTCCTGGGATTTGCGTTCGGGTTCGCTGCCTACAAATCTGTTCTTTTTGGAGGGTCCTTTTCGGACAGGGTGAGCTGTGGTTTTTGCATTGATGTTCGGATGGATGGGTGTGTGGGCGGGGTGTTTAAGCCCTTGGCCTTGAAGTGAGGGTTATATAAGGAAGAATTGGAAACAGATTTCTTGGTAACTTTTAGAAGACAAAATCACGGGGGTTTAATGGAGCAGAGCAGCTCCCTCTAATTGTGTTAAAAATTGTCTTGACTTTTTTTTTTTTTTTGCTGCCAAGCTTGATGCTGGACTTGTCATATACTCTCTCCTGTGGTTGCATTATCCATTCCCTGAAGTTCTTTCTCTGCAGCGTTTTCTCAGTCGAAATGTTCACCAGTGCACATGAGAGAGGTGGGGGAAATCCAGACTTCTAAATTTCAGTTTCTGTATTATGTATAATCTGGCTTCCAAACATGGATGGATGGATGGATGGATAATTTGGCTTCCAAACTTAAGTAGGTATAGGCTAAAAAAGCCACCTGATTTGAAAATATTTTATCCAAATTTTCTTTTGTTACTTTTTAGTTTTACTTTTTTTTACTTTTAATTATATTTTATCATTCAGATTTTATTTTATATCCCATTCTTAATTTGAATGTTGGTGGAAAGAACTTTATGCTGTCTTCCAACATACCCTCTGTACTGTAAATAGCAACCGACACATTAATGAAGTACACTTTATCTTAAGTACTGCCTTTGAAACTCTATAGAGTTTTTCATCTGTGCATTTTAGAAAGTTTTGTTGTAAGAGTAAGAACTTAGAATGTATTCATACTGTAGATGTTTTTGGAAACAACCCTGTTAGTCTCTGGTAGCCAAAAAATCAGGAATCTGGTAGCTCCCTTTCAAGCTAACAACAACCTTCATCAGTTTAGCTACTCCATCAGTTGGATGAAAAGAAATTAAAAGTTTAATGTCTTTTTATGTTACCTGTTAACCTGAAATGGGTCTAACAGATTCCTACTGTAGAGGTAGTCCTTGACTTATACCACAACTGAGTCCAAAGCTTTGGTTGCTAAGCAAGACAATTGATAAGTGAGTTTTACTCCATTTTATGACTAATTGTTAAGTGAATCACTGCATTTAAGTTAGTAACACAGTAACACAGTTGTTAGGTGAATCTGGCTTTCCATTGACTTTCCAAAAAGATCACATGACCCCCGGAACTATGCAACTGTCATAAATACATGCCAGTTTCCAAGTGTCTGAATTTTGATCACATGACCGTGGGGATGTTGCAATGAACATAAGTGTGAAAGATGGTCATAAGTCAATTTTTTTCAGTGTTCTAACTTTGAATGGTTACTAAATGAATGGTTGCAAGCCTAGGACTACCTTTAATCTGTGTCGATTTATTCCTGCTGTGTTCAGTGAAACTTGTTATTTAGCTAGTAATGTGTTAGGATCAGGGAGATTGGGTAGCAGCTAGCAAATATTCTATCTTTTCTTACATGAAATCTGCCTATATCTTTACATCGGTTTTAAGATTGTGATAATATAAAGTGAATAATTCAAAATTAAAATTTGCATTGATAAAATGCTGTCTCATCTCTTCATCTTGACACTGGATATGGGATCTGCAGCAAAAATAAGGCTGGGGAATTCTGGAGGTTGAAGTCCATACAGGTAGCCCTCGATTTAACAACCGTTCCTTCCATCCTCTGTTCCCACCTTCCATTTCATGACGCCAATAACTTTATTCTGGAAATTACATGTTCAAAAGGAAGCCGAATCGAGTAGGCCCGTTGAAATTAACAGGATTAACTTCTGCATATACAGATAGTCCTCAATTTACAACAGTTCATTTAGTGACTATACAAAGTTATAAGAGCTGTGGTGGTTAGAATACAGCATTGCAGGCTAATTCTGCTGATTACCATCCTTCCAAGGTTGGTAAAATGGGGACTCAGATTGTTGGGGGCAGTATGCTGACTCTGTAAACCACTTAGAGAGAGTTGTAAAGCACTGTGAAGCGGTATATAAGTTTAAGTCTGTTACTATTACTTTAGCTATACTGAAAAGGTGACTTAATAATGTTTTTCACATTTACAACAGTTTCAGCATTCCTAGGGTCACATGATCAAAATTCAGATGCTTGGCAGCTGACTCGTGACATTTGCAGCATCCTGGGAGCATGTGATCCCCTTTTGTGACTGTCAGTTAAGCAAAGTCAATGGAGAAGCTGGATTCACTTAACATCTATAGCAAGAAAGGTGGTAAACAGGGACAAAATTCTCTTAACAAATGTCTCATTTAGCAACAGTAATGTTGGGCTCAATTTGTGGTTGCAAGTCAAGAACTACCTGTATTTAAAAAAAAGATATAGGGATGTTTTTCCACTCTGCCAATCAGTCATATTAAAACAGATTCAACACAAACTTTTCTTCATTTTGTCAGAGCACTGTGTGATCAAGACATTTGATTTATGTACTTCCTGGTTCTTTCAGCTACTGGCTTCTCCAGATTAGTCAAATATTGCTTTAATTATAGCTGTTCAAAAGAAAGGATGTTATTTTGCTTCTCCTGAATGACATGCGCTAATAACTGAAGCTATTTACAGCAAATGAAAAATGAGGAAATCTATCCTAAGAAGTGTTGTGAAATAAGAGAAGGGATATATTTAATTACTATTGTTTGTTTTCTTTTTTAAAAATTGTGCTAGCAAATATAACAATTAAATATGACAAATATTCATCACAATAGAGATGTGAATTCAGGAAGAGATCCTCCAGTCATTTTCCGATCTTGCAACTATGTTTACCAAGTGAATGATTTTTGTAAGATATGATAGATTATTAGACTGATATATCTTTGGTAAATCAAAGTGAATTTTATTAGATGTGATTTTATCTATGAAGCAGATTTCTTTTTGTCATGTAATATATACATTTTGAAAAAAATATTAGTAAAGTGGGCCTTTTCAAATTCAATTCCATAGAATCTTAAGTTTCCTCAAGAATCTCAGAGATTTAAAGGGAGAAAAGAAAGAGCAAGACAGTTGCTTTGCTTCTTGATCTAAACTTAAGAAATTCAATGGACTGTCAAACTATTTTTGTTCTGATAAGCAAATTTGGAATGATGAGATTATAAATTATTATGTATGCATGTATTCAATATAGCTATGAATAAAAACAGAAAATAAAATAAAACCCCAGCTACTTTTTCCACTCTAATCCTTCCAGAAATGTTTCTACTGCATGAATTTATCTGTGTCTCTTTTTCTGGATTATATGGGCATATTTACCAAAGAAGCACTGGATTGGAGCTGTGTATCATTTATGTTTTATGTTTGTTATGCTCTGTGGGGCCCAAGAGACATTCTTGATAATAAAATTTATGGTGGCTATAATAACAATGGTGGCTTGTAACATGTTACTATGGTAGTGTTCTTACTTTTAATTAAAAGATTTAAAACAAATGGAGTTTATTGGGGTAAAGAGTCAGCCACCAAGGGAAGCACCCATGTCGCTTTGCCTATCATTTTGTCTACCACTGATTGACTGATTTTTTTGGTATGTTCCTGGAAAAATCATTAGTTTAAAATTTAAAGCAGTTGAATTTCCATTTTTAACTCTGAAAATAGAAGAGAGAAAATCAAAGGGAAAGGAAGACCAGGTAAATGCAGTGTTTTTGTGGCAGGAGGTTTTGTTTACATTGGTGTAAACCTGATCAGTGATTATGAAGAATTACGATTATAATTCTTTGGGGAGAAGGATGGGGATAGTGATTAGTGGTAGTTATTCTGTAACGGAAACTTAGCAAAATATTAGCCAACAATCAGTGATCCAGTGACAACCATTTGAGTAAAGGATTTTTAATTAGACTTTTTGAAATACATTGTGTTAATAATTTTATGATCATATTTCCTAATAATACGATGGTTCTCTTCATGGAATTCTGAGAATCTTAAGTAGTAAAATGGCTTACAATAGACTACAGTTGCAAAGTTCCTTGGAACAATAATTACATTCTGATGCATGTTGTTATAATTTCAGAGGAACACTACACAGATGATTTACACATACAGGTAATCCTTGACTTGTTCATTTAGTGACCATTCAAAGTTACACTGAAATGACTGCTTTTCAACTTACAGTCATTGCAGCATCCAGTCACGCCCAACCAGCCAGTCATTAGGGCAGAGAACTGGTTGTTAAATTATTTGAATCCCACCACTGGAATTAGATTAGTCTCCACTCAACCATATTGATGGAACATTTTGAAAGCACTAGTCTTCCACACTTGGAGTGCACCATTTGAGCT